CCTCGTGTAGCTTTGCGCGAAAATTAAAAAAAAAACAAAAAAAAAACTGAGTTTAACTTTGAGCATTGTGCTTCTGGTCAAACAAGTTATTATCTTTATCTGCCCTTTTAATATTAAAATAACTTAGTACCTACACAAAGACACACAATAATGAATGTTTCAGCTACAATCAATAGCAATAATAATGTTGTATTTTTGGACACACCTTGTAGATTGTGGTTTATTTTATACTTGACACTGCAGTATTATACGATACATCATATCAGTATAACAGGCCTTTTCTTTATATCAATTCATATTTATTTGATATGTGAACTAGAACTGCTGTAAACAACAGTATTTTGGGTAACAAATGAATAATTGTAACGAATTCAACCTTCATATTAAAAGCGCATCTTCTACGTAGCATTTGTATGGGCTTAGTTTCATTCTTGAATTAGTGAAACCAGTTTCAAACTACAAACATGAGTGTAAAGCTTCAAGGAGAATCAGTTAATTCTCGTTAAGATTGTTACCGTTTCTTGTTAGTTTCATCCGCCTGTCATAAACAAAACACCCTGAGGGTTGATGTATGATTAGTCTATATGTACATTTTCTGATGAGTTGAGCTAAATTAATTACTAAAGGAGCTTGCAATCAGTCGTATTTAATTACTTGAAGTAGAGGTAACTCCGTTGAAATGAATTGCTTGATGAGTTAGATGAACAATATTATATGTTAAGAGTTACAAAATGTTATGTAACTCAACTTTATGGTATCAGCATAAAGAACTACTTTTTGAATTTGATCCACAGCAATAACTTTAGAACAGTAAAATACCCCGGTGGGAGTAAAACAAATAACAGAGAAGAAAAAGAACTATTTACTAAATCAGGTCAACAATATTAACCTGAGTTGTAAAATATTCTCGAGAAAAACAGTTATAATCAGAATAATCCAAGTGCTTATTGTAAATTCGTAGTGCAAAATGGAAGGATTTACATATTTTGTCAATAAAGTTAGAAACAAAAAACGACGTTTAATCTCCAGGTAATGATACACAACTTTTTCTTTCAGCCATGAAGGCTAATAAGTAGAACTGTATGATCAAACAACAGTAGGTTACATTGTTTTTTGTTGTTGTTTTTTTAATTCAATAAGCAGGTTGGACATTTTGACAGCACACTGATTTATAACACTAACTGATGAATTATAAAATATTATTGAGTTAAAAATCTATACTAAAGACAACTCAAATGTTTATTGAATTGAATAAATAATATAGTCCGTTGAATTGTAAAATATTCTTGAGTAAGGACCTAAAGTCAGAATAATCCAACTGCTTGTTAAATCAGTGTTTAGTAAGAATAAATGAGCTGTTGAAATTATATTATCATCACCTATTGATTTGTAAAATATTCTTATAAAAATCAGTTATATCAAAGGTAAGTAAGCAGTTTCTTGAATATTATTCACTTCTGAGTTAGAGGAAATTCTTGTAAAAATCAGCATATAGAAAGGATGAGTAAATTGTTTGTTGGATTGGACTTATCAACTGTTGAGTTATAAAACTAAAATACTATTAAACGAAATTTGAGATAAACAAATCAATCCTCCGTGTCTCTGTGGAAAATCTTATTAGAAACTGATAATTTCTTGTCTTTTTATAAATATAAAATTTCAGATTAATCTAATACTAATCCAACGGACTGAATTCATAACTTTCAAGCGGATCTCATTATTAATGTAGATGAGTAAATATATAAAGTATATGTTGGTTCATTCTCAAGATGCAAGTTTAACTACAAAAACGTGCTAAATCTTTACAATACAGAATATAGTTTTGTAACTGTTACCTTTTTAAGAAACCGGTAGAGAATTTCAATAATATGAACATTTTCCCCATTCTTCACTAAAAATAATACTTTGAGAGCGAGCACAAAGGTTGAAGTAAAGATAGAGTATTATTATATGTTTAGTTAAACAAACAAGAATTAAGGATCCATTTAGATAATCAATATACTAGAAGACTGGGTGTAATTTAGTGTAAGAATACGGTACAATTTAAACAAGTAGGAGTTATAGGTATATGGACAATCATGAAAGAGCATGCACGAAGGAAAGGAATATTTAATTATCTTTTATGAATGTATATTCAAAAATGGATATATAATAGAGAATACTTTAAGGAAAAGGGTATAGGTATAGGCATTAAGAAAAGGGTTGGAGTATACAAGACTCGATATATATCAAGGAAAGGGGTACAAAACTGATCGTATGTTAACGAGTGAGATATGACTGAATGATATTAAAAGAATGGTATAACACAGAAA